TATTAGTCAGTCAGTCAGTTGGTCGACAGCAGCCTCTGGTGGCTTTATGTGAAAACAGCAGACACAAATGCCACTCGAAAAAGAAATTTCAGATCTGAAACATCGGAAAAAGTGGCCTCTGGCGGACTCACGAAGACGAAAAGCTGCAAAAAAAAAAAGTACCTCCTGAGACTTATTTGGTGCTCTCCAGAAATGTATACAGGGGTACGTAATCAGAATGAGCCTGGGTTGTGAATACTCGTGTCTTGAAAAACATCGAGTCAAGTATTATGTGCTGTCATCATGGCAAAGTTAAAATAAATCAGTTATCAGAAATGAGTTATTAAATGTATTATGTTTAGGAATGTGTTAAAAATGGGGTGGAAATATACAGGGCTCTAATAATTCACTTAGGCTTATAATTCTGCCTTAATGTGTAGGTGATGTCCATGTGTATGTTTAATTAAGTGTATTAGTGTATTAAGTGCATGTATTGTGTAATTCTTGAGCTTTTTTGGACAGCTTAATTGTTTTACGTTCATTCATTCATTCATTCATTCATTCATTCATTTTCTTGTCGGCTTAGTCCCTTTATTAATCTGGGGTCACCATAGCGGAATGAACCGCCAACTTATCCATCCATTCAAAATTGTAACTAATCATTTAACTTAAATCCTTCATGTTTTCCCCACACAAATTGATCGCGTGGAACGCAGCATTTTTTACAGCGTATAGAGGTTTTCACAGCACATATTTACATTTCTCGGCATCTTGAAGGAGACAAACAGAGTGCCATCTTCTGAATGAGCTGCGACGTCCTCTGAGAGATGGACGCTTTCTAGCTTTTACTGTCTGACTGTGCTCCATCTTCAAAACAACAGGATGTAGAGGGCAGACAGCCTTTTCTTCTAAAGCAAAAAGTGCCTCATAAAAGGATAATGGGACAATTTGGACGGCAGAGTGAAGGGCGGCAAAGTGGGTTCGTACACAATGGAGTTTCTCTGAGTGGCACGCTTTTAAACTTGTAACAATGGCTGTCCGCGTTTTCCTGCCGTTTCGGACCTCTGTGTGAGACGTTTGAAAAAGATGTGTGCATGTCGAGGACAACACACAGTACACTTAATACACAAATACACTTCATTCAACACGTACACCTGCAAAAAAAATATTATTTATTCCTTCATTTCTATTTATTGTAATCATTTTACTTAAGTTTACGTTTGGATGTCTTTAGAACGTCTTGCTGCAGGTTTAGAATTTGATTGTGCTGGTAAAAAAACGGCTTAAGCGAGTTGACAACATTTGGGCAGGTTTGGGATCAGTTTGGATGTTTTGAATGTATAAAATATATAACAAAAGCGAAGTGTGTGTACCTACTCGTTTTTATTTTGATTTTTCAGCCATGTTTGTGTGTTTGGGAGGGTTTTGAGCAGTTTAAGCTGGAAACATTCAAGTGTATCTGGCAACACTGACCGCCATTTTCTCATTGTAATGTTGTGAGGTTGTTTTCAGATACCTTTTCTTCAACCCAGACTCATTCTGAAAACGTAGTGGACGCGAACGTTTCTGGAGACCGCGAAATACTTCCCGGCAGGTACATATTTTTGCAGTTTTTGTTTTCGCGAATCTGCAAGAGGCTGCTGTGTGCGCTTTTTCGTATCTCAAATGTCTCTCGCGAGTGCCGTTCGCGCACGTGCTGTTCTCGTGTGAACCCACCAGAGGCCGCTGTCTGACTGACTGAATGACTGTGCGACCGGCCAATCGGCTGACCCACCCTCCTCCCTTCCCCAAACCCAACCAATTTTACAGATTGACCCGCCCGCCCACTCACTTCCTCAAACCCAACCAATTTTACCGATTGTCCCGCCAGCCCACTCACTTCCCTAAACCCAACCAATTTTACCGATTGACCCGCCAGCCCACTCACTTCCCTAAACCCAACCAATTTTACCGATTGACCCGCCCGCCCACTAACTTCCTCAAACCCAACCAATTTTACCGATTGACCCGCCAGCCCACTAACTTCCCAAAACCCAACCAATTTTACCGATTGACCCGCCAGCCCACTAACTTCCCAAAACCCAACCAATTTTACCGATTGACTCGCCCGCCCACTAACTTCCTCAAACCCAACCAATTTTACCGATTGACCCGCCAGCCCACTAACTTCCCAAAACCCAACCAATTTTACCGATTGACCCGCCAGCCCACTAACTTCCCAAAACCCAACCAATTTTACCGATTGACCCGCCCGCCCACTAACTTCCTCAAACCCAACCAATTTTACCGATTGACCCGCCTGCCCACTAACTTCCCAAAACCCAACCAATTTTACCGATTGACCCGCCTGCCCACTCACTTTCCTAAACCCAACCAATTTTACAGATTGACCCGCCCGCCCACTCACTTACCTAAACTCAACCAATTTTACCGATTGTCCCGCCTGCCCACTCACTTCCCTAAACCCAACCAATTTTACCGATTGACCCGCCCGCCCACTCACTTCCCTAAACCCAACCAATTTTACAGATTGACCCGCCAGCCCACTAACTTCCCTAAACCCAACCAATTTTACTGATTGACCCGCCTGCCCACTAACTTCCCTAAACCCAACCAATTTTACCGATTGACCCGCCAGCCCACTCACTTCCCTAAACCCAAGCAACAATTTAGAAAAGCTGTCTAGAAAAAGAAAAACCCTCGTCTGATTTTTTTTTTCTCACCCTGTTATGAACTCGTTTGCTTTATTTTTTGGATTCTGTTTTTGTCTTACCTGATTTCTGGAACTGCTCTTCCTTGGACTCGAACCCGGTCACCATGGTCAACTCCTCCTCTCTGGATCTGAAGTCTGCCGACATACACGATGAGCTGACTGGACAAACTGGTTGCGGCGAGAAAGCCCTCCACACGGAGGTAAGCGGTCATCCAGTAAGCGCAAAAGGGAACAGCGTCACACCGCCCCTTAGCATTCACTTAAAAAAAAGAGAACTGCAGCCATACGTACCTCCTGGGACATATTTCGCGGTCTCCAGAAACGTCCACAGGACTACGTTTTCAGAATGAGCCTGGGTTTCTTTGGTGAAATTTGTATTTGCAGACCTCAGACCCCCCTGATTTAAGTATTAAATGAACCATTGTCCATTAGTCATCCTGATTAATTTAAGGGAAGTACTGTAAAGCAGTGGTTCTCAAAGTGGGGGTCGGGACCCCCCGAGGGGTCATGGGACAATGAAGGGGGGGTTGCCTTGGTGATTTCCAAAAATCTATTTATTTTTATTAAACCATAAGAATGACTATATTTTATCCATAACCTACTGAAAAAAAAAAATAGTTGCTTATAGTTACTATATTGGATTGTGACCCCTTGGGTAATTACATTATATTAAAGACACAGCAATAGCGTCAGATGCAGCAGATTGATTTTATAATACCAGGTCAAACTTTCTGGCACATTTACAGCACTCGCATGCATTAAAAAAAATTAAGCGAAGAGTAGACTTGGGTTGATTAGTGTGTGTGCGCCATTGCATGCAAGGTTTCTGTATTTATAACCACCTCAGAGGATATTGGTGGTCGCGAGTCACTGGAATTGTTATTTTGGGACGTTGATACAGCCAGACAAAAGATCCGAACACAGAATGATTCATTCATTGAACTATGAGTCGACTCTTTCCTTGATGAATCAATAGTTTTAAACAAGGTGTACTGTTTTCATTCAGTCACACTGCATAGAAGTTCATTTTCAAAAACCCATAATAGGGGCGCTTTAACTATGTTTATATAATAGCTTTAACTGTAAAAGCTAATAGTAGGCCCACATGGAATTCCGCAGATTTTTCGCAGATTTTCCACAGAAATCCGCAGATTTTTAGCCCATCAATAATTCTGTTTATTTACTTGATTAAATGTGTAAATCTGAATTTATTCAGTTTTTATTTAGTAATTTATTACGTTTTATTTAATATATTAAGGCCTTAGTTATGATACTCTGCTGGATACTCCCAAAATAATTCCGCAGAAATCCGCAGATTTTTACCAAAATTCTCAGCAGAAATAGCAAAAAACGTCCACAGATTCCGTCTGGCCCTGGCTATTAGTTACTAGTTAATTAGTTCAAGTTATTAGTAACTATTAAAGTTATGGCAACTAATAAAGTTACCCTTTCTGATTGTATTGCGGGTGAAGCAGTGGCGCAGTAGGTAGTGCTATTGCCTCACAGCAAGATGGTTGCTGGGTCGCTAACTAAATTGGTCGTAGTGAATGAGTGTTTCCCAGTCCTGGGTTGCGGCTGGAAGGGCATCCGCTGTGTAAAACATATGCTGGAATAGTTGGTGGTTTGTTCCGCTGTGGTGACCCCTGATGAATACAGGGACTATGTCGAAGGAAGATGAATGAGTTAAAAAATTAATATGAAACAACTAAATATATTTTTCAGATTTTTTTTGACAATTTTATGACCTCATCTGACCTCTTATACAGATTTAAACAGACAGTTATTATATTTCCTGTTACATTTTTATTAAAATATTGATGTTTAACAGAGGCGAGGCAGTAGCGCAGTAGGTAGTGCTGTCGCCTCACAGCAAGAAGGTCGCTGGGTTGCCGGTTTGAGCCTCAGCTCAGTTGGCATTTCTGTGTGGAGTTTGCATGTTCTCCCTGCGTTCATGTGGGTTTCCTCCGGGTTCTCTGGTTTCCTACACAGTTCAAAGACATGCGGTACAGGTGAATTGGGTAGGCTAAATTGTCTGTAGTGTATGAGTGTGTGTGTATGTGTGGATGTTTCCCAGGGATGGGTTGCAGCTGGAAGGGCATCCGCTGCTTTAAAACGTGCTGGATAAGTTGCCGGTTCATTCCGCTGTGGCGACCCAAGATTAATAAAGAGACTAAGCCGACAAGAAAATGAATGAATGATTGTATTGCCTTTTGTAAAGCTCCTTTGATACAATAATGCCTGTGAACAGCGCTATACTTATAAACTTGAATTGAATTGGACGTCTGAATGCAATCTTTTCTCTGTCCAGATGAGAGGACGTTTAAGTGTGACCATTGTGACGCCACTTTCAAGCGTAAAGACACACTCAACGTGCACATTCAGGTGGTTCACGACGGACACAAGAAGTACAAGTGTGACCTGTGTGAGAAGGCCTTCGTCACGCCGTCTGTGCTCAAGAGCCACAAAAAGGTGCGTTCATAATCACACGCCTTTGAGCAACACACACACACACACACACACACACACACACACACACACACACACACACACACACAAACACACATGTTTGTTTTTGTGAAAAGTGGGGACATTACATATGTTTCCATTCATTTTATACAGTCCAAACCGTATATTGTATTGCCCTAACCCCACCCCACCCCTAAACCCAACCATCACAGCAGACTGTGTGCAGCTTTACTCTCTCATTAAACTCATCCTGTGTGATTTATAAGCATTTTGAGAAACGAGGACGTCACCAATGTCCTCATATTTCACCTGCTTTTTGTAATACCTGTGTCATACCCATGTCATTATACAGATTTGTGTCCTGATATGTCACAAAAACACGTACACACACACACACACAAAGTCAAGTCAATGTATTCAGAAGCACATTTGAAGCTCAATGGGGTGCGTGCAGTGTTTTTCCCCTACTGATAAACTTCCGGTGTGTGAAATGTTCCTCTAACAGCATTGATGTCGTAATGTAATTAAAATATTACCAGTTGAATAGACTCAGGGAGCAGTACGGTGGCTTAGTGGTTGGCACTGTCGACTGGTTCGAGTCCTGGCTGGGCCAGTTGGTGTTTCTGTGTGGAGTTTGCATGTTATTTGCTCCGGTTTCCCCCACCGGATGCACTTGCAGCCACAACCCAGTGCTGGGAAACACCCATACACACTCATTCACACACACATTCACTACAACCAATTTAGTTCATGAATTCCCCTATAGCACATGTGTTTGGACTGTCGGGGAAACCGGAGCACCCGTAGGAAACCAACGCCAACACGGGGAGAACATACAAACTCCACACTGGCTCAAACCAGTGACCTTCTTGCTTTGAGGCGGCATTGCTAACCGCTATGCCACCATGCCGCCAATATCGACATGATGCATTGTAGGAAAAAAAAAATACAAGTAAAGTCAATGGCTGCTGGATTCCAACATTCTTCTAAATATCTTCTTTTGCGTTCGACAGGTTTGAATAGTGAAGACTGAGTTTATCATGACCATTGACTGTTCATTTTGGGTTGAACTATTGCTTTCATTTTGCTAAGCAGTATGCTATAAGCCAGGGGTGTTCAAACTCGTTCCTGGAGGGCCGCTGTCCTCGAGAGTTTAGCTTCAACCCTTATCCTACACACCTGAACCAGCTAATAAAGCTCTACTAAACATACCAGAAACCTCCTGGCAGGTGTGTTGAAGCAAGTTGGAGCTAAACTCAGCAGGACTTTGGACACCTCTGCTATAAGCGATATGCTCATTGTTTATTAGATTATTATGATGAGAGCGAGTGTGTGTAATACATCAGTCTCCTTATAACAAATCTGTTTGAATGTTTGTTGAGAAAGCGATGTCTTTTATCTTCCTCCGCGGGGTTTGTGGGTGATGAACGGCCGCTGACACCCTGAATCTCTTGTCTCTGGAATTACTGAAACACAAGGCGCTGTCTTTATGAACAGACTATTTATTTGAAGCTTAAGCAACTACATTCTTGGCTAAAAACAAATACATTCCATGACACAGCTAGAGTAAGATAAGTCAAATTGTGTGTGGATAATAATAATACAACAATAATAAAATAATATTATGTGTGGATAACAATAATATAGAGGATCTGGATCTCAGCGTGACGCTCACTGTGAGAAATATCACTGAATTTTCTTTATATTTTTAGTCATAGCCTAAATTATTTGAGATGTTAAATATATATATTTAATTTAACAATTTAAAAATATGGAGGCGCAGTGGGTATCACTGTCGCCTTACAGCAAGAAGGTCACAGGTTTGAGTCGTGGCTGGGTCATTTCTGTGTGGAGTTTGCATGCTCTCCCCGTGTTGGCGTGGGTTTCCTTCAGGTGCTCCGGTTTCCCCCACAGTCCAAACACATGCGCTATAGGGGAACTGGTGAACTAAATTGGTCGTATTGAATGAGTGTCTCCCAGTACTGGGTTGCGGCTGGAAGGGCATCCGCTGTGTAAAACCATAGACTGTAAAATATATGGACGTAGTATCCGTGACGTCACCCATAAATTTCTTAAGAGCGCAAAAGAAGCCACAAGTAGGCGCGGCCAACCGTCGCCATTTTGTTCGCGCGTCATCACACCCACGGCGGGATACCAAACAAGGGCAAAGAGGCGGAGAGTGGGCGGAGCTACAGACACCTGCTGGCATTTAGCTTGGACCTGGTTCAGACACACTTTACTTTGGGAGAACGCTTAATACTTTATCACCTGCGACTCGTTTGTGTTCTGACCACTTGTGCTTGGCTGTACACTACATCAATAAAGTGTTTAGACTTTTAAAAACACTGCTGTAATACATTGAGCCACTAAACATTGTTCTTATGACGTTTTTCAACAGGAGGAAAACGAGAATTACTTCCAAACACTTCAGATATAGTCTGTGTTAGTTAATGTAAGACTATTGATGAAATCCAGCATAACACTGTATGACAACACTACAGATGACGGTTCTAGAGCCTACAGCTAATCAATCTGACAGATTCTGGAGTGCATTAAAGCTCTAAAGAACATTATAAATGATAAATGATCTTAAATAAAACAAATACATGTATAGAGATGGTATATAAGTATATAACTTTACTCACATGGGAAACGGAGGCCACGTGAATGGTTTGTGAGCACTATTAAGTGCACACAGCATGCCATATCATCTAATAATTGTAGGAAATAATCCCAAAAGGCAACTGACTGTGTAAAGCCACATAAAACAACACAAAAATAGGATGGAAATGGATCAGTGGCTAATCTGCCGGAGTCAGCTGAGGAGAAGTGACGGTGACCAGCAAGACCTAGCTGTCAATCAAGTGGCCACGCCCTTAATTATGCAAACTTAATATAACCTAATATAAAGGAAACTGATGAGTTAAAAAAAAATGCACCCCCTCACAGTTGTCATGAAGAGTAATATTAGCTGTATTAACCAAAATCGTTCTTTGTACCAAGCTGTAAACACCTTTTTTTTGCTGTAAAGTTGGCCATTCTAACAGTGGGCTCAATTAGACTTTGCTGTATTATGGAGCCAGGACTAGCAGAATTTCAATGAATTGCAGTTTCAGTTACTTCCGTATGGGCCTCCCGAGGAAGAGCGGGAGGTTTGCCGCTTGTGTAAAACATATGCTGGAATAGTTGGTGGTTCTTTCCGCTGTGGTGACCCCTGATGAATACAGAGACTATGTCGAAGGAAAATTAATGAATGAATTAAAAAAAACATATATAAAACAACTAAATATATTTTTCAGATTATTTTTGACAATTATGTGGCCTCATCTGACCTCTTATACAGATTTAAACATACAATTATTATATTTCCTGTTAAAATTTTATTAAAGTATTGATGTTTAACAGTGCAAGTACTGTACATTCATTCTTTTTTTTTGGCTTAGTCCCTTTATTAATCTGGGGTTGCCACAGCGGAATGATTTATGACTTAACCAGCACATGTTTAATGCAGCGGATGCCCTTCCAGCTGCAACCCATCTCTGGGAAACATCCATGCACACTCATTCACACTCATAGCCTATCCAATTCACCTGTACTGCATGTCTTTGGACTGTGGGGGAAACCCACACGGGGAGAACATGCAAACTCGATACAGAAACGCCAACTGACCCAACCGAGGCTCGAACCAGCGACCTTCCTGCTGTGAGGCGACAGCACTACCTACTGCGCCATTGCGTCGCCGGAATAAAAAATATTCACCTAATAAATCCTTTTAGCTGTATATCAATATTATACACCCACTTATTTCTCAATCTGTCACTAAAGAATGATGATTTCAGTGAATCATGTTTATAAAAGCGTGCCGATCTGCTCGCAGACGTACTTTTTAATAAGACCACCTTTAGTTCTCGTTTGGAAACCTTTGATTTATTTTTCAGCGCATGAATGTTTCCTTCCACACGGTGAAACTGAAATCCACAATCATCTAATATCCTGCACACTGTGTTGTTCCCTCCAATCATAACACAATCGTGATTTATCACCTCATTTACACACATGCCATACGCTTCAGTTTCAGATCCCAGCTTTATTCTTCAGCTCAAGCTCTTAATATGAAGAGCTTAATATGAAGAAGTTTTAAAGCAGCGCGTGTGTGTGTGTGTGTGTGTGTGTGTGTGTGTGTGTGTGATTGCAGTTACGATAACAGAAGCTGAATCTGACATTGTGTCGCCTCATTTCAGACAGCAGTGAAATAAGAGCTGCTGTTGGCACACAAGTAAAGCACTTTTACTGTATTGATTTACTTCTGTGACAGCGTGAGGCCAGTGAAGGCCCAGCGGCGTGTCAGAAACACCACTCATATGATACTCTTCAACAGTAGCTGCACTGATCAAGACTGCTAAATCAACTCGCTTTTCATACATCTGCAGGGTTTTCGACATATCCAGATAGATTGGTTTGAAAGTTTCTTCTGTTTTTTAGTAATGCCTGCACAATTTTCCCAAAGGAAATCTTAATTTTGGTAACACTTTACAGTTGTAGTAGTTAATGTTGGTATATATACAGTGCTCAACATATATGAGGACACCCCTCACAGATCTCTCATTTAAATAAATATTCTCTATAAGAAGCTTTACAATATTATATTTATGAATATATATTAGATTAGACGGTACTAAAGCTGAATCTGGAGCTAAACTAACAAAATAACTAACGATAATGATCAAAAATGCAAAAAATATGACTTAACGTAAAATATGACTTAACAAGTTTGTTTGTTTTTCACCGGAAGTGACAAAGGCTTCTCCTAAAAGAGAATAAGTGCAAAACATTCACGTTTTGATGTGGCCCAGCCAGAGTCCTGACATAAACCCTATTGAGATTCTGTGGATGGAGCTAAAAATCAAGGTGATGGCAAAAAAACCTGAAAACCTGAAAGAGTTGTTGCTCATGGATAAAGATAAATGAGCAAACAGTATGCTAAAAGCTGGATGGCAATTATA